ACGTGTCCACGCAACGAAGGATCTTGGTCGGGATCCCACAGCGACTTGGCGTTGATGTACTTCACGGGGATACCACTGCCAACATGCTCTGACAACCTGTCTTCAAACCGGTCACCTCCTGTGACCAGCAAAAACTCACGGCTCTTCAAATTGCCAATGATGCTGCCAAGCGCACGATGGATACCTTCGGCAGTCTGGGCTTGGTACCCTCGCTCTGCCGTATCCAATCTCTCCATCGGAGTATCGAAGGCTGTGAGGGCGACACGAAATTTGCGATGACACTTTGGAATCTTTTGGGGCATGGTGGCTTCGAGACTTTGGACCAATTGTTGAGGGGTAATTGCCAACATCATCAAACCGGTGTGTATGCATCTGAACACTTTGAGGCGTTTTCCATTGATGCTAATGATACCATTCTTGAGGTCCTTTACTAGTCCCAAGTGTGCCTGAGCATGAAGAGACAAAAGCAGCGGAGATCGACCTTTCGACAGCTGGTGGGATTCAAGAACACCATGCACTGGATCTTCCTCGTCGAAGTGCAACGAAAAGGGTAATGTGCGGGATCCTTCTGTAGTGGTCCCTTTTTCACCTAATCCGGCAAAGTTCTTCGACGTTGTGGTTGAGAAAGGGAAATCATACCCCAGCTTCTTCAGCTTGGCTTCCACGACGTCTCCCCAGTGCTTTGAATGGCAGGTGGAATTACATCCCTCGTCGAGAACGACGTAGATGTTCTCGTCGTCTGGGCTGTACATGTCCCTGGCTTCGTGAAATATGTGCACCAAACCATCTGTCATCTGGGTAGGTTCCTCCCCATGAAAACAAATGCCGATCCCTGCAAAGGGGTCTGGATCTTCGGTGTAATCAATCATGGTGAACGAGTCTCCTTTGCTCTCTTCGATGGACAGGTGGAGGAGCTCGTGCAGCTTGATCGAAGTCACGGCCTCGGTTTCGGCTGCCAACGCGACTTGGGCGGCAAATTCAGTCAAAATCTTCTCTAGCATCTCGGGAGTGTGTCCTTCTTCGGGTTCCTCTTCAACCAAACGTTCAATCATTGGGATCCTATCGAGCGGTGCGTTGACGACTTTCTCAGAGGCTGCCTTCCTAGTCTTTTGGAGCTCCATCGGAGTCTCATCCAAAAACGAACAACAAAGCTTGCAAAACACACGGTGAACAGACCTGGAAGAACCTCGAAAATCGGTGTCCGAGCGCGGCAATCGTCATATGCAAACTTCGGGGCTTGCTCTCTACGCTCGGTGGTGGAGTTCCCACAGACAAGGCATGTCTTCTTGATGGTGTATGCTGTGCTCCCTTGTTTGGTGAACTCGGAACAATTCTTGCATTTCTCCTTTGGTGGATATGGTGGTTTCTTCCTTGAGGACCCTTTTGGGATAGGCTGCAATGACGATGAAGAAGAAGCACCACCAACCTTCCTGAAAACTGAAGCTCCCCTATATTCAAAATGCTGATCAACCCACGTGACGAAAGCCGAAGCGATTGGACTCTTGCCATTCTTGATGGCCCATTGGTGGTAGTCAGGATGTTCATGAAGGATCTGCCAAAACGTCTTCCCCCTGAACTGTCCAGCTAAGAACTTCCTATCGCTCCCTTCAGGCCTTACGAGGTCGTTGGGACTCACTGGTGCCTCCGGACGAACTCCTGAGCTGGCCTTCACGGCCATGTGAGCAACGCTGTCGGTTGGAGACGCCGCACCTAGAAAAATCCCTTCGTCCTCGGATGAATCACTCATGTGGGCAATGTGTGCAGCAGGTTTCGGGGCTGATCCAGTCTTCGGGGCATTGGGCATCTTACATTGGGGGTCTCCGGCCCAGTGACCTAAACCGCCACAACGAAGACACTTGGATTTCGCCTTGATCTCGGACAGTTTCTGTCGACGTTGCTCGATGCTAAGGTGAGACTTCACTATCTTACCTTTGCCTTTACCTTTCCCCTTGAATTTATCCTTGCCTTTGCCTTTTGCCTTCCCGAAAGCGACGAATGCGGCAAGCTGCAATTGGATAGCATCACCTGAGGAACGTTCTTCGGCATCTTCGCAATCAACTACTGCATTCAAGGCAATTGCTTCATATTCATCAACATCATCATGATACTCAAAATCTTCGTATTCAGGGTGGCTAGCATGTTCATGTTCTTCAGACTCTTCAATCCCTCCGAGCATGCCTACGAAAGAATCTTCTTCATGATGATGCTCCTGCAAGTCCTCATCTCTCCAATCGAAATTGTCTTCCCAATCGGGATAGACGGCATTGTAACCAGCACGAGGGTATTGGCTACCTTTGCCTTTACCTTGGTACCCCTTCTGGTACCCTTTGCCTTTGCCTACCTGAGGCTGAATTCCCCGTCCTGTCCAGGATCGGGACCCTTCACGAAGATGGATTCCACTGTAGTTGTCAACCAAGACTCGTGCAGTACCTTCGAAGTCATCGTTCTTGCGACAAGCCTTCACCACGAGGATCTCCTGCCTGGAAATACCTGACATCTCCAGCAATAGCTCTGTGCGGAAAGCTTCTGAGATCATCATTGTGGGATCAAGCTCAACCAACAAGGTCCACCAACGTCGTCGACGTTGAGTGTACGACAACATACTCTCTGTAGGCTGTCTCGACAGTGGTCCTCCATGCTTCTGTCCTGCGCGAAAAAGCTCCTTACTCTCCTCCAAGGCTCGAGGAAACACATGGTTACGTATCACCTCGATGAGACGCTCCAGTCCCCCTGGACGTGCAAGTGTCTCTAGACCTAAGTCTCTGGCAAGCAAAAAGGCATCACCTCTCAAACCTTCTACGATCTTGTTCACTAGGACACTGCGATCGATGATACTCGACTTGTCTGACTTAACGGACGAAGCCTTCGGTGATGTTGCATCAACCTTCGACTTGGGAGTACCGGCAGTCTCACGCGGCTCGGGCTCAAACTCCTCGGGATAGTGTCCAGGCGAAGGGAATGCGAATCCTTCGTCTGACTCTGGTGGCCAAGGCTCCCCTTCGTCGGCAGGTCCAGTCACGGGATCCTGCTTCTTTGCTGGTTGCGTTTGGGCTTGGTCGTGCAGCTTGATGCGGAGTTCGGTTCGGAATTTCCAATCATGAAATGATGCAGGATCTCCCCAATAGATGTAAGACCCACTCTTGGTTTCCAGGGGGTTGCCTATTCTATCACCAGTGCTACCCGAATGGAACTTGAGTCCAGCAATGGACATGTTCGACGATTCCGACGGAGATTGCTCGGGCGAGCAATCTATTCCGGGCTCTGTCCCCAACGGGATCAGAGGAGGCAAGCGAAAGCACGCAAGGGATGCAAGCTCAGGCTTGATGTTCTACGATTCCAATGACCTGGATCAGTACGTGCCGGAGTCAGGCCGTCACCTGCTCCGCTACCAATGTCGGTAGCAACCGGAATCGTACTGTCCACACGCTCTTTTCACTGCGAAAGCGAGCACGGTATAGCTCAAGGGCCCTAGGAGCCAAACGGCGGCAGACACAACATAGTGTGACAACCTGGCTCAACAGAATGAGATCCTACCTCAAATTCACACCAAGCATTTATCAGGTCCAGCCCTGCCACTGCCAAACAAATTCACAACATTGCTAATTACACAGAAACGTCCCGGCACTTCAATATGTTTCTGCTCCAAAGCTCCTGCACCGTGCGATTGAAGCTCGTTGAGCTACTAGTGATCGTCTCGAAGAACAGCCATCATGTCCGGATTGCTGACCTTGTAGGAATCAACCATGGTGCTGATCACCTCGAGCATGCGATTCGCCATCTCTGGAATCCCCCGCTCTGGGTTCATGTCTGTAATGTTTACACCCAACACTGTGGTTGCCTCTGCACCCCGATGGTGATAGACATAAGAGGAGACAATCATGTCCAAAGGATCTCGGATCATCATCACTCCACGAAAGCCACTTGCTCCGGCCGTCAAACCGCGCAGCCCTTGAACGTCGTCACCTGTGAGGAATGATGGGTGTAACGAATCCTTGCAGGATGCGAATGACAATCCTGATGCTTGGGCGACAGTTCAGTCAGTGTGCCACCTCCGCCGTCATAGTTGCAAAGTCCATGCCGCCTAGGATATCAAAAGCCCGCCGCATGATGCTGTGCAACATGTTGGTCCCAGCTTTGTGGCTGCTACCCACCAAGTAGGCATGTTGTTGCCATCTGCTTGTGTCGCCCCATGTGCGTTTGGAAAAGCTGGCCGCAGTCCTGGCCGTTGGTCGGTCACGGGCCATCCAGACTGTGACGGAGCCCCAAGGGCACCCCAAGCACTCACGAGACTCCACAAAAGCATGATATAATACTATATACTATATATATAAATACATATGAAGAGGCAGAACATGGAGTGGGTTACAGCTTGAGCAGCTTGAGCCAAAGAAAAGGAGAGCAAGTCAGTAAATCAGAACGGTGAAGGCGTGTGCTGCACGTGCAGATTAGCTTGGTGTTGAGATGATCCTCATCACTGTAACAGTGGATGATAGTGAACCAGGGGCATTGATATGCCTACAAGAGTGAGATTCTTGATTCACTGACTGTTGCGGTGATGGCTGCGAAAAACCTAAGCCTAAGCTTGGTGTTCTTCCTCTCTCTGCAATTTGATCATCAAATCTCAGGATCATTGAGCTTGGAAATGCAGGGTTCCTGCAAGGCCGTACCAGCGGCACCTCCATTTCCATGCCCTGCCATCTTAATCTCAAAGTGCTCATGGTCTGGAAGAAGTTGGGAGCCCTTGAAGCCCATCTTGGACAAAATACGTCTTGTGCTCGAAGGCGCATGGAACTGAATCAACCTGGATCTCCCTATACATACATACACACATACATACATGATATATAATATATATATATAGATAACTATATGTATGACCCGAAGCCTCCCTTGGTACAACCAAAGGAAGTGGGCCATTTTTTCACCACGTGTTCATCCGATCGCGAGGGTCCACCCATGGTTTCGCATGGACCCCCATCCCGTCCGTTTTGGCAAGGCTCTGGGGCCCGAAGTTGGACAGCCCCACGCCACGACAAAGCCCCAAATCATAACACTTGCAAAGGCCATCCAGCAGGGCATCCTCCTGCTCCGACCGGTTCCGTGTCCCGTGCGGTTCCGGTGGAGCCGGAACCGAAAGCAAAAACCGATCGTTCTGGTCTCTTCAGAAGGAGAAGGGGTCCGACTGGCCAAAGTGAGAGGTGTGGGGGGGTTGTTTGAGGGGTAGAGAACTGGTGCCAGATGGCTGTGCACAGCCAGGATGATGTGAATCCACCCAACTCAGAACAACGGACATCGCGAAAGAGGATCCAAACGAGGGGCGGAGCCTCCAATCACCTGGCCCAAGCAATGCACGTTTATGGTAAATAGTATGGGTCCAAGGGCATTCCCTGCAGAAATGCCACGAAAGCAATGACAACATCAAGGGTACCGCCCCACATCCAGGGCGGTACCGTGGGACGGTCTTTGTTTTTGGACGCTCGTGATGGAAATGCCATGAAATGCCCACATGTTGGGCTCTTGGTGCTTGTGATGTTCACTTGTTGCGCTTCGGAATCTATTCATCCCTTTCACGACCGGCTTTACATCGTCATCGGCTTCACAATATTATCATCGGGATTCATTGCCATCGAAGAGCCGGAGAAGAGACACGTATCTTGGAGGGCATTGGATTGATGCTAGATGCAGAAACGAGTTGTCAGGAGGTGGTTGGCGGGTGGGTTGGGAGTCGGGGGGTGGGGTGGGAGGGTGTGGGATAATGACGTGGTGGCTGATTTGTGGTGTTATTCGGTGAAACATGCAATGCATGAGTATGACACGCAAGCTGCCTCGCAAGCCCAGAGGGCAAAACAGTGAAATCCATGAAAAAATGCTTGCCATCCAATGTCATTAGCACTCACAAATTCAACCGCTCAGTGAGTCCGCAGCTGATGAAATGCGATGAAATGCATGCGCAGCTGGCAGTACAGCAATCTTGCAAAAGGTTCGCCAGTGAAACACCTGGCAAAAGTGTTGCTCGACTTCAATCAAAGGTGATGAGAACAAATCACGATGGGAATCAACGTTGGAAGCTCCATTTGAGGAAACGCTCCAAAACCTGCATGTGTCACACATGTTGACCTTGCAAAAGGCGCGATGCCTGAGTGGGGCCGATCCACAAGCCCCTTGCTTTCGACCACACGCGAGGTCGAACAGCCCCTTGCACCGCCGATCCAGATCTGACCATTCACCAAGAGGCCCCAACCGCCGATCCGGATCCCGATCCGAATCGGCCGGCCTGGAAGCCAAAGCCGTAGCTCCGAGGGCTCCAGTGCATCTGCGCAATGTCCACCCGACCCATGCGTTTCAGGCTGCCTCGGGCCGGGGGGTTGGCCCTCGATGGTCACAGGAAGACTTGGTGGCCAGAGTCTGTGGGGAATCTGTAGTTGTGAGGAATTGTTGGACTTCATCAACTAGCCCATGTTCCAGAGGATGGGACAACTGAGGACTTCTCCGACTTCCCACTTCTCCCACAAAAAGTCGGTGACATTCAGTTTCGATGTGTCCCGCTTCGTTGAGGAGGCTTGGCGGCCGCGCCTCGGACAGCTGAGACCATGGACTCCGGTGTCAAACGCCAGGGGTAAGCGGCCAACCTTCCGCGCGAGCGCATTGGACCCAGGAGCGGGAGGTCTAAAGGGCTTATAGATGCTTACTTACATATAGAAAGATACCTGAGTAACCCCTTTTTGGTCTTGTCCTATCAAAACAAAGGTCAAACGGGTTCCAGGTGTGTATATATATATTATATATAATTTTGTGTAGGTCATTAGTCTGGATTTGACTTTGACCGTCTTTTCGTCTGCTTGGTGGAGGATCTCTTTAAGCCAAGTGGCTTGGTCGCCAAGACTACTCGTGGCCTGCCCTCCTGGCAAGTGTTCTCCCATCAACCACGACAAGCAGGCCGAACTCGACAGGCGCTGCAACAAGCCGCGTTGCAACCCTATTGGCTGATCAGCGGATCCAAGAATGGTCGCCCGTGAAAAAGGAACCCAACTTCCGGATTCCGATAGAGACCGTGTATCACACATTGGGGGAGATGAAACCCAAATTTGGGATGGGCCACACTCCTCGCACATCCGAGCTCACAACTCGGATTCCTTGCCAAAGGAAAGTCAGTCGGGGTGATGATCTTGCATCTTCATGTCAGACCTGTAAGTTGTCAGACATGCCATCGGCTGGGATGCGAGCGTAGCCCACTCGAACCTCTCCTGCTCCGCATCTTTGGCGAAGCGGCCCAAGAGTTCTTCCGCACGTCCTTCCGGGTAGGCACCGTAGGCGGGAGGTTCAAGCCAGTGAGGAGGTTCAATGATCAATGTTCTCGCGGGAATCTTGGGAGATCCTGCTTTATTATACTCTATTTACAATGCTTTTGGAAGCTTGCAGCACTGCTGCAGTGCGACCTTCAGTGACTCTTAAGGTGTACTGCCTTGACCTGCGTTGACGTCCACGCCAGAAGCCGCTCCTTCCAGCTCTCCGGTGCCATAGCTGTCGCCGGTGTCGAACCAGGAGGCACCAGAGGAGGTGAAGGTCTCAAAGACCTCCTTGAGGGTCTCATCCTGGTTTCTGTCTCTCTTTCTTCCATTTCCAAGTGTTTCTGAAATCAAATGTCTCACATTGATGTCCTTTTGATTGTCCCATGTGTTACCGGTCGAAACCGCTGGTGTCAGGGCAGGTGGGTGCAGAAGTAGGGACCTGGAGCAGGCGACAAACCGACAAACCTTGGACGTTTTGAGCCAATTTCTTCAAAGTCCAAGGTGGTGAAGATGGAAGTTTGCTAGCCATTTCTCTAGCAAATGAGAATCAATTCGCCCAAAGGGTGTATTGCAACGAGGCCTCAGATAAGAGCACACCACGAATCTGCCCTTTTGCGGATCACTATAATCTATAACCACTCAACCTTGTCATTTGACTTTGAGGTCTTGGAGTTCCTCTAAACTGGCTTCCAGTACCTGAATTCCCCTGTGATTCCTTTCAGTGCTTATGTTCTTTTGACATGAGGCCATGATGTCGATGTCACAATGAAACAAGAGGAATCCACATGAAGCCTTCCCTTAGGAGCTCTCAGGCCATGAAATCGAGTCCTTCATTCAGACGTGAGAGTCCATCAACAAACCTGACTCCACACGGTCGCCAGGCCCGGCCAGGCCTGTTTGGTGTCATAGCCCCACAAGAGCTTGTTGCCCCACCTGGGCGCTCCAATCACTGAGGTGTGGCCTCCCTGTGGCAAAAAAGAAGAAGAAAAACACGCGCAGGCATACCCAAGTCATCTCATGTGCCCAAAGGATCTGCAAGGTTTCTGACATGCAGGTGTGAAATTTCCAACAGGGTGAGCCTCGTCTCAGCTTTACAACACGCAATCGTTCACAGAAACCCGCCATCGACCCCTACAAATGCGATCATCACATTCCATCTTGAAAGCCCACCCGCTCAGTGTTCCGGCCACACCGAGGTTCACCTCTTTCCTGCCTGGAAACCACCCCCTCCACCCTGCGTGGATCCAAAAGGCTGCCAGGTGCCAACCCCCAGCTGTGACAGCTTGAAGCCTCCCTTCGTCGGCAACTGGGGAACCAAAACCTGCCGGTGCCCGGTGCTTGACATGCGACGTTCGGAAACGGAGAGGGCACATGGGTTTAGGTTTGTTTTTTTTGTGTTTTTTTCTCGACCAACTCTAACTAGCTCTTTACTTTGTGCTCATGGAGGAAGAGTGTGGTTTTATAGACTCTTCGAAGTGTTCGAGGCTTGGTGACTCTCGGTCCAAGCCTCGCCCGGGATTGGATGAAAAGAAGAAACAACATCGGCCGTGAAGCAAGGGCTCCATGCGGTTCCACCGGTTCCACCGAGGTCCAACGAACGGCACCGGTCAGCACGGCGGTCGCCCCGGCGGTCGCCCTGGCGACCGCTGGGGTCGGAAGGCCCTCGGTCCTGGCCCAGGGACGCCAGCAGCAAGGACCCCACAGTCGTCCAGAGAGCGGCTGCGCGCCGCATGGCGAGGTGCGGCTGGACGTTTCTGCGATGACGTTCAATGTGTGATAGGAGCACCGGATGCACCCTTGGGGTGGTGATACTAAGCACTCAAACAAATACAGGTCCCGTGTGCTCTGAATCTTCAGGTCCCGTGCTCATCCCCGAAAGCGGATTCACTGCATGCACGCTGGGCAGTTGGGCATTTGGCATATCAAGAAGAAGTCGCACTCGCTTGCAAACAACCATTGTACTAAGTATGGCTCCTGGATTTGGACGAGTGGCTAGTCTCTGACGTGTCTTCCAAGCAAACCACTTTTTCGAGCCATCTTGGCTGCGTATGGTCCTATCATGTCCTATCTGGCCTCGCTGCAACACGCACACGCGGCCAGCTCGAGCTCTCCACCCATTCGGGCAGCAAACCCACCACTGGTCCAGGTTCAAAGAGCCTCTCCAGTAAACACCGACCGCTCGGCTGCTCGGCATCCCTGACATGTCATAGCGCAGCTCAGCCTCAAACCTTAGGCAGTCGCTGGCAGTTGGCCCAGCAGAAGAGATTCAAGCCGTCCCCGGAAGTCCATTGGGATGTGTCTTAAATGGTGAGCCCTCCCAAGCACCCACTCGTTTTGTTGTGGGGTCCATGACCACGCAACATCAATTTAAAAGATATTAACACAGCCAAACCCACTCTACAGCAATGACGAATGACAAAAAACAACATACTACCGGCGAGGAAAGCACAGACCCATACTTTCCCTTCTCTAGGCCTCTAGGCCTCTCGGCCTCTCTTGGCCATCGGTTTGTATGGAGGCCATCGCTCGTAGGGTAGCTGATCCGAATCTCGGTCCCGGTGCTCGACCCGAGGGCCCCCACAAACCCAGAGCGGCCTCAGCCGCGAGACCTGCTGGCCTTGGAAGATCGGATCGCAGCGCTCGACGCGCGGTAGCGGTTCGTGACTCGCCGCCCCCGTTCGAAGGATCCACAACGAAGCACTGTAACGGAGTCCGTGCACTGTCTGGAACTAATGGACGTAGGAGAGGGAGGAGGTACTTCGGACCAGAGGCTGCCCGTGCCCCCGGACGTGCTTGGCAGGGTCGAAGCCTCATCGAAGTTGGCACAGGATGACTCAGGATGACACTTACCGCGAACTATCTTCTACTCTGAGCTGCCCGCTTCTTTGCTGAAGCTGTATTTGATGGGAAGTATCGCCCACCCCCGACAATGCCCCAAAGCTCAAGGATATGGAGGTGTGAGACCGCAAGGATGCACCTCGAAATGACATCTGCAGCAATCACAGCTGAAGCCCCACTTGCTGGATTCACCTGGCGGAACCCGCATGGGTGAATTGTGCAGCAGATCGATGTGTCGGTCGCTATGCGACCGACGGTGTTCCAGTCGTAACCCGGAACCGGGCCTTGCAAGCGCGCAACCGTTTGCATAGTTATGTGCCTATGTGCATCCCTAATCAACTAGACTGGACATGACAACCTAATCCCATGACATATGACATATATATCAGAACATATCAGAACCATCTTGAGTCGCGGATGGGACGAAATGCGAATCGCCGGAACAGAACCGGTGCTTCCCATTTGGCTGTGGTTGACCCACACTCGGAGTCTAAAACCGTTGACCTCCCTGGTAGTTTTTGTTTGGCTTTTTGGTGGTCAACCAGATTCAATCAGGAACCAGGGTCCCCTATGGGGGACCCTGCGGCCACTTGATTGATGCGTGCTTTTCGGAGGTCTGTGCTGTCAAGCACACCGAATATACGGAATGATAGAGATGGTGTCCCCCTCAAGACATGTGTCTCCTGCTCCCGTGGGAGTTTCACCGAATTTGGGGAGCCCAACCAGGTATAACTACCAGGTGTCCAACCACAAAAGAGCTGGAAAGGCTGACCTGAAAAAACAAAAACATACAAAAACAAAAAAATAACACAACCACCCAAACCTGATCCAACAGGCCAACCTCACCATCTTGGTCTACCCTCCGTTCGCGTGGGCGTCGCCGCCTCGTCGGGTCTCCACCGAGCCCTCGACGTCGAAGTAACGGTGGCCTCGGGCGGCGCGCCCGTTTGGACCGGCATCGCCCGTATGGTGGGGGAGGCTCAGTTTCTCTTCCCAGCCTCGGAAGGTCTTAGACTTGGGACCCCAGAAGCCCATCCAAGGTGCCAAACATGTGCCATCCTATGTGCCTTCTTTGGGGCCCCATCATCTCTCTCTGGGCCCTCTTTGGATGGGGATCTTGGGTTTTTTAGGCACGTGTGGTGCCTGGTCATGGCATTGTTCGAGGGATTTCCATTCCCCATCAACAGCTAATCTCTAACCAAGAATCAAGCATCAACCAAACCAAACCCAAGCAACTCAGCACCATCGCCCCCGAAGCCGCCCTTGCTATTCCGTCAGTGGAGCAAGTCGTGTGACAGAACCTCGTGTGTTCGGTCACTGTCTCGGAGTCTGTGAAGACACACATCCACTGCGCCCAGCGACACAGCTCGGCACCTTTCTCCAAGTCCTGGGTGGCGACAAAAATCATCGCCTCAGAACCCGGGCCAACGGGCCGCACGGAACGACGGTGCGATGGAGTGCGGGTGTCCACCTGGTCCAAGGCACGAAGTCCGACCAAGGGAGGCCATCCGTTTCGGAAGCCCAGCTTGGGCGGCACGAGTCTGGCAGCTTTGGAGGTTTGGTTTCCAATAAGACGGGTCGGACAGGTGGGACAGGAACGGCCAAGCCATTGAAATCACCACAACCATCCACCACCCGCGGGCGGTCGCCACTTCCAAAAGGCTAGCCACGACGTCGCCAGGCCCTTCCCCACCTTCTCGAAGAAGACCAGGACCAGCTTGAGAGCCGTCACGGCGCAACCTGGGCGAGGGCGGAGAAGACGTGTGCGCTGCCGATCAGACGGTCATGTAGACTCTTGATTACTAACCCGCCCCCATTTCGATTGGAAAACCTTTTCGTGTGGGGGGTGTCATTCATCAAGAGTCTTACATGTCTTACAGACTTATACATAAACATTGTTCTTGCCAAGCAGAAGTTGATGAGTTCATTTCTTCATCGTGAAATGGAAGGCTCTGTGTCTGCTGCTGGTGGTAAATCTTGAATTCGTGGCGCTTGCGACACCAAGCAAGCGAAACACGAAGAAGAGATATGCTACTGTAGGACGGCATGGAAAAGCAACATAAACTTAAACCCATTCTAGGCACACCAATCTACCCAGCAAACTCAAGTATCCTGTTCTACCCTGTTGATTTGGGTGGATCGCTTGTAATCAAATCTCGTCGAGTCTTGCCACCAAAGCAGAGGCCGTTCACGGCTCTGCTTACTGTTTTGGTCCAGAGGCTGTGGTTGAGCATGGAGGGCAGGCCATACAAAGCTGCAGCGCCTAGACAAGACCGAGGCCGGAAGACGACAGAACCGACACCTGCCGTCTCCCTGTCCGTGGCATTGCCCCCCACAAAAAGGGGGCCAAGGGCCAAGCCTTAGATTGGTTTCACTCGGACTCTGGCCACGTGAAGAAAAGAAAAGAACGAAAGTTACGAAAAGTGAACCATATAGGCCATATCTGATGCCACATCGACCACTTCCCTAGGGCGGCCCTACACACTTCACCCCGGTTTTGGCAGGTACCCTGTGGTCCATCCGCACATTGGTCAAGCCGCCAAGCCCAACACAGAAGACGAAGAGATACTCCCCTGCTGACTGCAGATGAACATGAGAACCTCCAAACCACCGGGTGGTTGAGGAAAATGGTCAAAAGCACCGGTCAATTCTCAGGCTCCATGGGATCATTGTGCCGGGCGGGGTAATGAGAGAAGTGCGTTGTCACCGCTTATTCTTTCTCAGTCGTTTCGGTGAACCTACCAGAACGGCAGTCAGACGGTCAGCACCCGCCTGAATGATCCACCACAAAAACCTCGGTGGATAGCTTTTGGGGCGGACGTGACGTCCAGTGTTGCTGTCAATGGATCTCTCTTTTCGTGGGGCTTCCAAAGGCTTTGCACGAATGTGGAATGTCATCCTCCTTGGATAGAAGAACTGAGGAACTGCTCGTCCCGCTGCTGCTCTTCTCAGAATCTTCGATGTGTATGTTGTTTCTTTTCGTGGACATCACCCAACACCATGTTGCCAGCAGTGGACCACCGGAAACCGCGGACTTAAACAAAAAATCATACAACTGTCACAGGTGTGGCAGGAGACCAGCTTTATAGTTTCGCTCCTGTGTGGAATCTGCCCTGGTCATGCTTGTATCTTGAGCCTTGAACCCTCCGACAATCCTGACATCCTTGTCAGATGTGCCCGGAACCCTGTCCGGAGTCACTGGTCCAAAAGATCTATCAGGAAATCATGGGGCCCCCTATGAAATGCCATGTTCCCAAGTGTCCACCCACTCCAGAATGTCAGAATCCCTCCCCGGCGTTTCCTCTGCCAGCGACGTTGTGATTCAAGATCTCCTGCAGCTTCAAGTCCCCCTCCGGTGTCGCTTTCTCAGCTTCGGCCTTCGCCTCGAACGGCCGCCAGGAGCCACGGCACCCACCACCGAGATAGATTCTTGTGTCCTACAAAGGAAGAAAGAAATAGACCCCCAAATGTAGATAGAAAAAAACAATGACTTTCAACACTTATTGGAAACCCTGCCGCTATCTATATTTCTATATGATTGAAAACCACTATAGGTGAGCTCAAGGCAAATGGCTGGAGACTGCTGGATGGCTACTCAGCTGCCGGGTTCCCCGGAACCGGAATGCCCGGGGCGTGACATGCTCAACGCATGTAGAAGGACTTCGCATCGCGTACCCTTGATCTATCGGTCACTGGTGCTGAACAGCGCCATCTTCAGATAGGAATGAAAAGAACAAAAGAAAGCTCCAAAAAGGAAAACAAAGACAGAAGAAATACAGGTACCAAGAGAAAGATCTATCTTTAACGATGTAGAACAAGGAGAACCCGGGGGATCGTCTTGTGCTTCGACCCCACTCCGATGGGTCCCTCCGATGGGGGCCGGTGGTCCCCCCAGCCTGGTCGGCCGCATCGGGCTGAAGGAACAGCTCCTGGTGAGCGACGGAGCTGTTCGTAGAGGGCCGAAATGGGCGGGCGATGGTTTCCAAGAGGGTCTTCTTCGGAGCTCAGCTGAGGCTAAGCCTAGCGGCCTAGCAGAGGCTGCTCAGGGCATCTCAGGGACCCAATCTAGAATGCTCTTTAGTAGATTTGTGGCGTCTTTTCGGAACATTCTGCGACAAGTACACACCAAAAATTGCGGTAATGATGGTGGTTAGGTCCTTGCAGGCCATCAAGGGGGAACTGATTCCCAAACCCACTCAAACAAACCTAACCCAGCAGACCAAAAGCCAAAAAATAACACCAGCCAACCCCAACCACCTAACCTAGCTAGCTAATCCTTCCTACCTACCAAACAAACTAGCATTGAACTCACTAACCAAACAGTCTGGCCCAGACCCCCCCCCTTTCTTCGGCACCTGCATGACCTCTTCAGGCGATTTGGAGCCTGGCGAGCACCGAGACGCCCCTGAGTCGCCCCCGTACCGTTTGGGACCGCTCTTGAGACCCACACGAGCTCCACCCTGCCTCCAGTCCCTCCATCTGCCAGACACTCCAGGCGCCGCCGGGCGCGTGCCGAGATGCCACCTCGCCCGCAGGGGTCGGATCCGCCCCGGACGAGTCGTTTTTACGCCGAAGGCCTCGACCGATGGGATCGAGGCAACTACAGCACCATGTGCGAACCATCTTCCATCACGCGCGTCGTCGGTCCTGTTTGCCGTGGTCTTGTTCTGGCCTCCGTCCCGCCGTCGCCCTCCCTCGCCGGCGAACGCGTGGCAAGAGCCAAGCCACACTTCCGCCGCAGCTCTGCCACCAGCTGCGGCCCGTTCTGCGGGGCCGCGGCGATAGGTGGAGACACCATGAGGACCTCGCCGGCCTCCGCGGAAAGCTGGCAGGGGCAGTGGGGCGATTTCGCCAGTCACGTGGAGGTTCAAGAGTCCATAGAGGGCTGCTACCAAAGTTAGGAAGGTCCGTCCAGTTCTTCGCGCATCTGCTGAAACTTTACTATAGGCCCTATAGGCTATAGCTGAATATCAAAAATCGGTGGGCCGTTTTCGACCAAACCATCTGCAGTCCTTCACCGCTCGCGACGTGAAGAGCCTGGCACCGGTCGCGGATTCTGAAGGTCGACCTCCCCGCCCAACCGCCCCAAGTGGTGTGACGTCACCAAGGTGACTACAGATGGGCTCACACTGCGTACAATAGTAGTCACAATCATATCCAATGCCCAACTACAATCAATAATAGGAGTCTGAGTCACACTATGCAATTGACCCATCGTGGTCATCCTCGGTCTTCGAGGCACCACCCGGTCCGGACCTCGCGACGCTTCGGTCGCGACGTCCAACGTCGCTTCGATCATGTCACCGGTCATGTCACCGCCAGGAGGCGCATGGGGCGTTGCGCACCATGCGAAGGAGTGCCGCGAAGGTACTGATTCCTGGTCTCTGTCTGACAGTGATGGCGTGTCTTTGTTGACTACCATGGCGTGGTCCCTTTCTCTCCTTTCGCCCTTTCGCAGCTGCAGCACACAGCCTTTTGACTCGTTTTCGCGAGGCTGCATCAGTAGTAGCCCAGCTGTGCCCGCAGGTGCTGGAATTCCTGACCCAGGAATAGAAGCGCTCTCCAGGTGGCTGGGGCATGGACCATCCCAATGGGATCCACGGGGAGCCGATTTTTCGAGAACTTCCCCTGCGAAATTGGATTCGGGATGTGAGCTGCTATCGGGAGTCGGCCGAATCCAATTGCGAGATTCCTCCAGAATAACCGAATAACCTCTTAGTTTTCTCTTCAGTATTTGCTTTCCTTTGGTGAATGTGGTCTCTGGTAGCTTGTGCATCCAGGATTTGGATGGAAAGTAATTAGTCGCCTCAAGCTACATGTTACCTCTTGGTTCGAGATTCGGCAGGTTTTCGTTTAGAGGGTTCGGATGGGTTTGGTTGGTTTGGCTTTAGGTTATTGAGCTTCTTGTTGGTTTGGCTGGCTTGGCTTTGGCTTGTCTAGGGTTACGCCGCGGCGCCGGGCAAGTCGCTACTTTTTGGGATGCATTTTGGCGTCACAGGGCGCAGGGTGCTGCACTTTCGGGTGCCTTTGGTGGGGTTCGGGCTTCCAGAATGCTTCACTTTCGGTCCGGGTTGGTGGTCATTCGTGCCTCACGTGTCGCGTCCCAGATGCGCATAGAACCGTTTCGCCATGCTGACTTCTCAATGAGTTGGCTTTCCTGCGGCAACTCACTCCACTGCTTGTGATGAGTCCATTTGAGTGGTACGAGAAATGCATGGTGCTTTCCCATCGACTATACGATACAGATGTTCAACCTGGCTTATAGCAACTTGGATTCCTTTTGGTTTCTCTTTTTTTTCGGGCTGTGTGTTGTTGTTACGATTTTGCCTTATGACAGAAGTATACAGTAATTTGTCCGCGTTTTCCCGCGCGGCCTAGGTATTGTAGACTCAGCCTTGCTGGAAGCGCCTTGGCCGTGGACCTCTGAGCCTGGTCGCGTTATGTTCCGCCTGGTCGGAGGCCCTTGTTGTCTCTTCAATGTGTGCTTTCGATTGGTGAATGTGGTCTTTTGTAGCTTGCGCATCCTCAAGCTACATCTTCGTGATTCGGGATTCGGATGGCAAATAGTCGCCTCAAGCTGCATGTTACCTCTTGATTCAAGATTTGGCAGGTTTTCGTTGATAGGGCTCGGATGGTTTTGATTGGTTTGGCTGACTTAGCTTTGGGGTCTGGCTTGGCTGGCTTGGCTTTGGCTTGGCTGCCTAGGCTTTGGTTCTTTAGGGCTTGGGTTCGTCGGTTTGGCTTTCAGATTTGGTCCTCTTGCTTTTTGGTGGTCCCACTCTTGTGTTTTTTCATTCTCCGTCGATGGGATTTGGCGTCCAGTGTTTGGTGACTTCCGACCGCTTTGATGCCCCGACGGTCGGGTCCGACCCATCTCCGGATCGCGGCAAACCACATCGGGAACGAGGGAAAAGATGAGCCGACTGCAAGGGTGAATCTTTTGCCTCCGAGTTCAAGACAGCTTGCTTAGAATCGAACCCTTCGTCATCATTCAAGTGATGTTTCATGATGTTTCTCTGCCCTCCGATTTACCACACTACACATCGTGCACCCAGTGGAAGCTGCGAGGTAGCACAAGCCATTCCAACTTTCAGCAGGCTGGGACCAGATTTTCTCTGAGATCCCAGTTCTGCGGCTCCGTTCGAAAAGTTGGACTAAAACATCTCTTTCAACTCTTCGAAACACCAAGGTGCGCGAGGTTCTTCAGGCGCGAAGCCACCTTTTTTGGGCGCGCAGAAGCCACGGGTTTTCGGTGTTGGCCCGGTATCTACCCAAGCTCCACGGAAAGCTCCTTATAGCCTGAGTTTCAAGATCTCAGCATAGATGTGAGGCTTCACTAGTGGCGAACACCTTCTGCTCTCCAGCATTTCCTCGTCATCATTCGTGAGGTTGAACGCATTTACAGAATTGGGCCGAGCCTTCGGAGACTGGTGACAAGCACGCCCATTTTCATCACCAGGGTTGAGGTCTTCATTAACTACGTCATCCAGGATCGCTTGTCTCTGCTTCTCTGCAATCTCATCCCGAAACATGAAGCGGACGATCTCCTTGCCCACAAGGCGGCCAAAGCTCCCAAATATCTTGTGGAGGGCGTAATCCCCAAGCATATGTCAGGTCCAGCCCTGCTACTGCTAAACAAATTCACATTGCTAAGTACAGTACACAGAAACGTCCTGGCACTCCAAAATGTTTCTGCTCCAAAGCTCCTGCACCGTGCAATTGAAGCTCGTTGAGCTACTAGTGATCGTCTCGAAGCGAACAGCCATCATGTCCGGCTTGCTGACCTTGTTGGCATCAACGATTCGCCATCTCTGGAATCCCCCGCTCTGGGTTCATGTCTGTAATGTTTACACCCAACACTGTGGTTGCCTCTGCACCCCGATGGTGACTCCACGAAAGCCACCTGCTCCGGCTGTCAAACCGCGCAGCCCTTGAACGTCGTCACCTGTGAGGAATGATGGGTGTAACGAATCCTTGCAGGATGCGAATGACAATCCTGATGCTTGGGCGACAGTTCAGTCAGTGTGCCACCTCTGCCGTCATAGTTGCAACTATCCATGCCGCCTAGGACCTAGGATATCAAAAGCCCGCCGCATGATGATCCTGTGCAACATGTTGGTCCCAGCTTTGTGGCCCACCAAGTAGGCATGTTGTTGCCATCTGCTTGTGTCGCCCCATGTGCGTTTGGAAAAGCTGAGGGCCGCAGTCCTGGCCGTTGGTCTCAGAGGTCATTGGCCGACGACGGAGCCCCAACGGCACCCCACTGGGCGCACCCACGAGGCTGCACAAATGCACGGTATGAAAAGCATGAAAAGGGGAGTGGGGTTGCTCCACCATTGAAATTTTTTGACAGCTTCAGCTTGAGCAGCTTGAACCAAAGAACATGAGAGCATGTCAGCAAATCTACAAAAGTCTTTTTGCGAGGCCAGGCCCGAACAAGACCATTCGGAGTGGTCAATGTGCCACACAAGGTGGTTCAATTGCAGTATGTGTTTCAGAGTCCGTTGGCCAGTGCTGTTCCCAATCAAGCGGTCATGCGTTCAACATCTGGCCATGGACTTTTGGAGATTCCACTCAGGATCAAGAAAAGAATCTGTCCGAAAAGCAGTGGAAAGGTGCAAATCAGGGAGTCCCACTCAAATCAAGGTCCAAAAATCCGTGCTTCATCGATTCTCCTGAGCTTGGATTCCTCCCGCTGGACTGGAGGGGGCCCCCCCCCATTTTGCGAAAGGATTTGGAGGTCCTCATTCCTCCTTGAGCTCTGCATCCCCTTTGCAGCCTAGGCACGGCATAAACGTCCTCCTGAGAAGCCACTCACCAAAAAAAGAAAGGAGCAGGTGCTCTTGGGACATGACTTTTGTGCCAAAAATGTAGCCAAAAAAACACGTGGTGTTGCAGTGAATTCTGCTCCAAATACATCCAAACCCTAGGTTTTAAGCTCATCTTTCTTAAATGTTGTTCAGACCAGGGAGTGGATTTACAAAAGTTTCAGACAAAATGATGCCACCACAGGATTGGGATCGTTTATCTCAATCAATGTTGTTTGTCTGTGTTTTGGTGTTTGGGTTTTTGTTGTTTGATTGTTTTCTGCGTTTTTGGTTTGCACATTTGTGGCGATGTAGCCTTCAAGCTCTCCATCTGCATAATTCTCTGAAGGCACTTCCCAATGCCTGCTCTATTGCCACAGAAACTGGGCATAATACATGTGGGCCTGTACTCAAGCAGTGGCGGTGTCCTTTTTGCCTTTTGTTGACTATTGGTAAGCTCTTGCTCCCCTTATTCAACTCGTTCATTGCTGATACAACTGGCTTACAATCTGATATGGTCATTTAACTCTTCCTCTCCCCTCCACATTCTTCCCCGCAAGCTGTTCGCTATGTCTTGCTTGACTGTTTCTATACTCTCAAAATGTGTTTCAATTTTTTGTCGCACCACAAGGAAAGGAGAGCTGCTTCAATCTTCACAAAGGTTTTCGTGGTCAAATTGCTTAGTCTCGATTTGTTTTTTCTTGAGAAGAGTTGCCCCCAACAAGGAAAACACAAACCTTCAGAAGGTAATGAGGTAGACCAAGTTAAAAAAGATTGATCAACTGTTGGTTTTCGTTGGTGTTTCTCTTGGTTCGGGCGGCCAGCCAACCTCATACAGCAATTGAGTCTGTATTATATATATACAGTATGTTTGCATATATATGTTTGCCCGAGATACAAATTGAGCTAACTCTTCATCTAGCAATTTCCTACTTTAACCGTTGCTTTTTCTAAGCCTGTAAGAGCTTGCTGAGGAGATAGGACATCAATGATATCTGACACACGTTTCGGCACCAGCGGACCGCTCGGCACCACACGGCTCGGCACCACACGGCTCGTCCGAGCTCCAATGAGCTCCGGCCGAGCGCCGGAGAAGGTCGCTGCTCACCAGGTCGATCCCATGTAGTACAACAACTACTCACTTGCATATTGTATATCATGTACACACACAAATATAGATATATATATATACACGTACACCACTTGGGATGCCGGGGCGTTCTATATGTCTTGGTCCATGGCCCCACCAAAGCCGCTTGCCACGTTCCAGTGGCATTTCAGCCCACCTCTTGAAGTGAAGAAGGACGCATAACGATAAGCTTTCTACATATATATATATATCTATCTATCTATCTATCTATCTATCTATCTATTTATCTGTGTGTGTGTGAGGTTATGCTCCTCAGCTGCTCCTAGTCCTACTTCTTAAGACATTTCCAGAAAGAAATTTGAGGCCAGCGACTGAAAAACGGAGGCCATCGACTGGAAAACACTGGCCCTATGAGTTCTCAGGAACAAGTAACAAGTGTGTAGCTTCTACCGCTCACCCTAAAGAACTTCACACGGCAAACGTCCAAACGACCTGCAGCCCTGCGGCAGGTAGCAACTCCAAGGCCTCTCTGGCTTCCGCCATCTCCAAATCATCCTCGGAGAGCCAACGGCTCGGAACGAGTACCGAGAACGAGACATCGCGCTGAGCCTTGTGAGATGGGCTCCACCGACTAATGGCGCAAATAGCAAGATGCCTTCTTCAGGTTTGCTATCAACCTTGAGCCCTGTGGCATCTTCTGCATTCATATCCATCAATCACACACCATCAAACGGAAAAATGCTATATCCTAAGGCTCTGCCCAGCTAATCACCGAACAGAAAGGAAAGAACGTCATGAATCACCTGGGGCCGGGGTCTTTTGCAACCGCTCCTAATCCACAGTCAGAACTCTTCAGAGGGTACACACGGAGCCTTGTCTTCTCAAGTCAAGTCTTCAGCATCCTAGGCACCAGCGCACCATCCAATATCCAAGTGCAAAAATGCAAAGCAAAAAAAGGTCGCCCGCCCTCATTACGTGCGTCTTCAAGAAAATGATGTGATTTTGGGCTGGAGCGAGGCCAGAATGTCAAGAATGAACGAGCTAGGCGGCTAGAAGAAGACTGGAACATATATAGTTGACTGTTTCTCGAAGGCCTGTACCTAAAAAGTCGCATCGTCTTATTATGTTTCTTCTTCTTCTTTTTCTGATTATTCTTATTATTCTTCTTCTTCTGATTTTTCTTCTTATTATTATTACTATTCTTCTTCTGACTCTTCTTATTCTTCTTCTTATTCTTCTGATTCTTCTTCTTCTTATTCTTCTGATTCTTCTTCTTCTTCTTCTTCTTCTTCTTCTTCTTCTTCTTGCGTGCTATAGGTATGGGGGTGAGAGAAACGTGTGAAACTAAGTCAAAGAGATAAATGCCGCACCCGCAGGCGCCCCTCATGCCCATCAGTACAGGAACTGGATAACATAGGAAAAGTGCTAATTAGAGAGCCGATTCAGTTTCAAAGTCCAGGTATGAGCGGTGGTAAAGGCGGCTTTCAAACTTGCTCCCTTTGTGCTTCGAGGATTTGAACCAGCTGTTCTCGAGAGCTATTAGTGTCAACTTCGCTATGACGGATATGGTTCTAACTCAAGGTCAAGATATTGTAGGTCCACTGTTGGCTGGCCTGCCAACAAGTCTGAATAAAACTTCGATAGGAGAGGCAAAGTCGTAATTGAACCTTACCATTCTCAAATGGGGTGTTCATTACCTTGGCGAAGCAATTCTGCCAGCTAATGCAATCCTTCGAGTCTTCAAGGTCATTTCTGCGTTGGTATTGGCACGCTTTATAAACGTGGTAGCCATCCCCCAAAATCGTTCTTAAACCTTTCAATTGAAATGCTTCCAAAGCCGGGACAGAAGACCAGCTGGAATCTCCGGGGTCTCAAAAGTATAGAGAAGTATATATGGATGTTTAAGGCTTTATATATATATATATACACATACCTGAATTTGGTATACACTCCTATATACGCCCGAAAATACATATACGCCACTCCTATACATGTCTCTATATGAATGACGGACAATATTACTTATTACCCGCAAAGGACGTTTATAATTTGGGTGGGCCCCTACTATCAGTCTCTTTACATGTATTTTGGTGGTACCCTATCGGTCTCAGGTTTTCTTATACATCTACAACTCTTTGGGGTATCGGTTTTGGGTGGGCCATCACCCATGTTGGAGGGTATCGGTTTTCGGTGGGCCCTTATCGGCAGTCAAATTACTTTTTCAAAAAACGATGTCCAGCCGAAGACTAATTACTGCTGACTTACAAGAATTCTGTCGGGTACTCATATATATATATATATATATACGCCATATACGCCCCCATCATGTGGCATTAGCCCCATAAATTGGACTCCTTTCATGGCAGCAGTGCACCAGCGCAGTAGCTCACACCGTTCCACCTTCCCTTCCGCGCGCCGCGCCGGTGGTTCAGAACGAAGAAAGAAAAGGCAACCTTCGCCGGGCATCGTTGGTGTGGTTGGGGATGTTGGACGAGGAAGGTATGTCAAAGGACATCCCTTCCTCATCGCCTCGGACGTGATCAATCCACGTCAACGGAGGAACCCAAAAAACGCGGAAAAGAACCTCGCGTTCCACGCGAGGATCTCAAATGACTCACTTTCTTCAGATTTCGGTTGCGATTTCTTCGATTCCGAGTTGTTGTATAGACAAACAAAGCACATCCATTCCCTAAAAGGGGCTCAGCACAGCAGCCCTCAAATGAAGTATAGTACATATAATATATATTTATATGTAATTTATTGCAAAATTCATTGCCAATTCATGTTCCACATCTTTCCACAAGACTCCGCGCTTTGGTCAAATCGACCTGCAGAACCGCTTGCAAGAATCCCAATGCCACGTGGCATGCCAGTTTCGTCGTGTCTGGCCCAGTCCTTTTCGTCGTGTCAAGCGGCCTTCCCGGTTCAGATCTTCCACCACAGCGGCATCCAGGATCTGCAGCCTCTGATCATGAGTGATCTCACCACGGAAGAGGAACTGAGCAATGTTCTTCACCTCACATTCGTCCGTTGAGGAAGCCCAAGAACGGCACAAAATGGGGGCACGTGCCGTGCATGCGTCGCGTTCAAAAGAGATCCGGTCGGTGTGCTTCGACTCTAGGCCGCGGCCCCTTCCCGGCGGAAAGGTGGACACGGTAGACTCGGTGGCAGACCATACATTTCAAGCCCCCAGCTCCCAGACATGGATTCTTGTTCACGTGACTCATTCGCTTTCTGAGCATGAGGTAGACAGCCCGTAGGGGCACTGAGAGAGATATGGATGGTCAAAGCTCTTCATGATAGGGGGTACTATGGGGGTTAAAATGTCGTCAGTCTTCTCAGACTGATTTGGCATCACTTAGTGAGACTCCATGGGGTTTTATGATTAAAGGCTTCATGGCAGGACAGTGCAGCAAGCGGCCCTATGGCACGGTCGGAATCGGCTTTCAAGCTGAGCATCAGTACGATTGAACATCTCAGAGCTCGCGGTGATCGCCTCATAGCCTTGGGGTGGCCAGTGAAAACCAGGTGGATCACATTGGCAGAAACGGCTGACCCTGATGGATCTCACCGTTGCGGTCAGCGTGCCACGGCGGTCTCTTGGAGCCGTGCTCCGGTCGGTCGGGGACGCCGAAACGGCCCACTGGCGTTGGAACAGCCAAAACGGCCGTCGTTCCGTTGGTGTTTTTTCTTCGAAAACCTGGTTTTGTTTTTTGTACTAATGGCGAACAACCGAACGACGGCCGAACGGTGACATCAGGGTGTTCTCACTTCAGATGTCACACCGTTTTTGGTCCACCGGTGACATGTTTTTTCGCCCGCTTAGGTCTTTTGTGTCACCACGACTAGTGACAGGGTCGAGTACCACACATGCGCCTACGAATGAAAAGGAAAGCAGTCTTCAACAAATGTGGTCATAGACCAGGCTGCAGGCTGCAGCCTTCAACGCACTACCCAGGTTGCTTTCACTGGCCATCACCCCAAAGCAGTCAAATTAGCTGAAGTTTGCCAAGGTAAGACTGAAAAACATGATCCATGGACACTCATAGACTCATAGATTCAATAGATGGTGATGAATCGGCCCCGGCCAAAGCACTGCATCACTCAAACAGATTCCATCTCAAGAACGCTTGGGTGATGCTCCGACTCCGCGGGGCCGCAAAAGTCCTGCTCCTGCCAAGTCACGAATCACAATGACATCGGGCCTTGCCACCTCCGTGGCTGCCTCCATCATCTTGATCACTCCCAGCATGCCTGGAGCCATGGCCTGAGGCCATCAGTCTCGGCTTTCAGGCGGTTTTTTGAAGAGAAAACGCCTCCCAAAAAGAACCGGTGGGGGCTCAGAACAGAAGAAATTTGCCACACATCCATAACATAAGAATTATATGTATATATTGAAAATGTTCAAATTCAGTGACCCATAACGCCCTTCAGACCCCCGCAAGACTTCAGGGTTTACCTAGGAAAGATGTCCAAGAATTGGTCAAGGAGTTTTACCATTCCTACATAAGTCTGGGATCTTGGTGGGTGTGTCAAATTCCAATCCAACTTCACGCGAGGGCCGAATTCACGTCCACTGAACTTTGACACAGGCACCGGCACACCCTCAGCAGGTGGCATCTTCGTGATGTTGTCCGGAGCCAAGATACTGTCCGGCTCAGCCCCACGGTGGTGGTAGCCTCACTACGGGTGAGGGAGCCGGGCTGGGCTCAGCTGCCTCATGAGAGTGTGTCAAACCTCAGGTCCCTTGGAGCGCGTTCTGCTCTTGCACTCCCAGTTCGCATGCAAAACCCGCGCCTTGTGTGACTGTCTGTCTCGTTCAAACCATCGCCGTCTTCCAGTCAGTACCTCCACGGCCTCTGCCGTCCCAACGCCGCCCGGCGGCCCCGGTCGATCCAAGCAGCAATAAGCCGAGATCAACATTTCAAACGGATCGCGGATGATCATCACGCCCCGAAAGCCGCCCGTCTCCCGCGTCTCGTTCCGAAGCTTCACGATGTCCTTGCCACTCACCGTGTTGTCAAAGCCTTCTTGGGCCAGGATTCGAGGGACAGTTGAAAGCCAGGCTCAAGAAACTGGTATATAAATAAATAAAAAAATAATATATGCAGTTCCGCCCCAGCGAATGGTGGGGGAACGTGTCAGAGAAGGGGGGCCCTGGCAAGCTGACAGGTTCACGTCTGAGGGGGCGGATTGCATTTGGCGCAGGTTGCATCCCGCCCACAACGCCAAACGCTTCGAAACCACAACGCCAAAATCCCAAGGCTTGCTGAGACACCGGGCACCGCACAAGTCTTGTGAAGTCCGGAGAAGCACCAGCAGTGGGCGGCAACGGCATCGAAAACCGTGGGAGACCTATTTTCGCGTCGCTTTAGGTTTGTTATATATTTGAGACCGTTGGCGGACAGGCTCGGGAGAAGGACTTTGCATAGAGTCGCTACTGGCGTCAGAAAGCAACGCTTGGCACTGAGAAAGCGGGTCCCATCTCAGTGCAGCTGCCCCCCGCAAGTCATCCAGCGTGGGAGGCCCGCCACAGCAGCCTGCGCTACCGCAGAAGAAGGCTGCCCAGCTGGGGCCGCACTCGTCTGCTGCAGCGCCGAAAGCTTCAGGACCCATGGCTGCCCCATATCCAATACAGTGGCCTCACGACCCGTGGCAAGCGTGTCAGGCACAATTCCCCCAAGAGTTCACTGACATCAGCCAACTGATCTCTCAGACTGTGTGGATGATCTTGGACACTTTTTCAGTGTCTACTGCCTGAGTCAGGTGGCCGCCCACAGCAGAGCCAATCTATATAGCGTATCCATTCAAATAGTTCTAGGTAGTGTATCACATTGTTGGGGGGAGAGTGGCCATCACAAAGCAACCAGGCCGCTCCGAGATGGCCCAGATGGGCCACACATGCTGCCTGAGAAGGTTCAAAGTAGACCTTCAGGGAGCAACAACCAACACCCATAACAACAGCGACGCCTCGCACTCTGCATCTCCCCACCATGTCTTTTCCTTCGTTGTGGTTTGTTGGCCTGCTGGCCCGCTTTTGGACGTCAGCCCCTTAAATATATATATATATACAGTATGTGTGTGTTTTTGTGGAATATTGTGGAGCATATGTATATATATATATACACATACATACGCATCAAGAAGATTAAAGGAGCTCAAACCCGACCTGGGAGAAAGTGACATCTACTACTGACTACTGGAAGTACACCCTTGGTATGTTCTACAATGACAGGTGTGATGTGCATCATGCCATATTCGCATGCAAAGGTTCATCCACAAGTCCAGGAGCCATCACTAATTCTAGGAAAAAATTGGATTTAGAAGCGTTCCATGTTCCATTCCTGTTCCTTACATGCATCCTCCACTTGTCCACACTGCTTCATTCTATCTTCTTCTGCCAGGCACGAATGTTCAACGGATGCTCATCGCAATCCACATGGATGTGTGGAGACGTGATTGGAACACCACGTCCTCCTTTCTGGCAGGACATGTTGGCACCTGGAGACCGTCGAGATGGCCGTTGCTCGTGTGTTGTCTTCCAACAGCCAATGCAAATGTATGAAAACGTCAACCAAGTCAACCCAACGTTGGAGTTCGGAAAGAGAAAAAATCTGAAAACTGAAACCGGCAAAATCCTCTCTGGACTCGGTGCTCAACCATGGCAACAGCCCTGGCCTAGGGTGTCAAAAGCCCAGTTCATGATATTGCGAAGCAACTGGCCTTGGCTTTTTCAAGCTGATCATGCTCCATGTGGCATCATGTTTTTACTCAGCCCGGTTGGACTACAGCCACTTGGATCCAGAACATCCTAACGACTCCTCCCGCCCCAAACTCCTGAGGCTGGAAACTGGAAAAGATCAAGACAACATGATTCAACATTGTATCTCCCCCCTCGCATCACCAGAAAAGACTGGACAGCTGGTGACGTCGACCGATCTTTTGGCAGAACGGCTCGTCTCAGACTCCCTCGATTGCATATATACATAGATATACACTATATATACATATATGTGTGTGTGGTTGTTTGAGCCACGCCCAGAGTGTTTGCCTCCCAGCTTGGCCTCCAACACTTGGAGATAAAGAAGGTTCGATGATTTGCTGCGTCAGGCGCACCCACAATAAGAGTTGGAACATCTTAGTCCACCTTCTATCCACTTCCGGGTGGTTTTTGACTCCTTCTTTATCTGTCTATTTTTGTTTTTCCCTCTCTCTCTCTCTCTCTCTCCTTCTGCCGAGAAACTTCCAGCTTTGTGGCTGGTGCCCACTAGGTAGACGCGCCGGTCCCAGGGTTTGACCTCCGTTGCCTGTAAGCTGAGCCGCTTCTGGACGAGGGCCATCCTGGACACGGGGAGCGATCGATCGAGCGGGTGTGGTACGTATGTGTCCTTGAAATAGTGGGTTCTGGCCAGTTATGGCCTGCTTTTAGGTGGGTCCTTGAGGAAAAAAGACTCCTTGCTAGAGTCTTAGAGTTGCTAGGGGCCCTGCCATGCAATCGATCAACTCCCAGCTAGTTATTTGATCCCGTGGTGCATATGAAGAAGCCTTGTCCAGGAGAATCACACGTCACCAGTGGCCTCACCTGCAAGGGGGATCTCTGATAAAGTGTCTGGACAAACCACCCTGGGGATATTTCACTTGATGCTGTGCCAAATGCTTGCATGTAGTATGTCCTTTCGTTGACTGGGAAACCCAGGTGTCCCAATTGCCTTGCCTTTGTCCTACTTTGATCTTGTAGCGAGGATTAGCAAAAAGGCCGTCCATCCTCCAAAAGGCAAAAACTCTAGGACTTAAGAGAAGGATCCTCATCAACCTCTCTTCCACCCTCGCCCGGACGCCGAGTGGCTCAGCCCCCTCAGTGCACTCGTGCTCACAGGACTGCGCGGAGGCCTTGGCGAGCGCGGCCGCGACCACCATCCGGATGTGGGAGATGACGTGACATGGACAATGGAAGTGCGCGATGCTTCAGGTCACATGCCCAGTCACTCAAGAGCGACAATCTTCCTTACCTACACACCTGTTTGTTGGAGAGGATGTGGGGGGGGTTGGCAGAGCCTTCGGCCTACGCAAGAAGAGAAGAGCCTTCGGGCGTGTTCAGGGCGACGCATGCGTTCGGGGGGAGGATGGGGAAGGCGGTGTGGATCGCGGGTCTTGGATGCGGAGGTGGCCATCAATGTCCAAGGGAAAAGCGCTTCGGGGAGCCCATGCATGTGGGTGAATCGTCCGTCCCACGTCCGTCCCACCTCAGAGCACTTCCACCTTCCATTGATGCACATTAATTTACAACAAGTCCAGGGCGTCCACCAAGCCACGAGCAGAATCAAGCCACATCGTAAGATCCGCCTCAGATTTGGCAGATGGGTCAGCTGAACCGCATGAGGATCATTGTTTTGGGACCGCCAGAAGTTGTAGCCGAGGCACGAGGAGCCCATGGGAAGAGGAGGTTGCTCCCAGCTCCGCTCGTTTGCAACGGTTCGGTTCGGTCCTCCCTCTACTGGAGCCGAAAACTGCAGCGCACCTCACAAAGCCAGTGCGACTGGTGATGGCCAAACCTGGTCGTCCCGAGCCCTTTCGAGGCTCCGAAGCGGCAACCCTCAGCCTCTCGTCCGAGCCCTTGCGCTTTGGAGTCGGAGTGCTTCACCGCGCCAGGGCGACGCGTTTAACGCGCCGGTGCGACCCGCGCTGGTTCCTCTGGGTCCACTGCCTTGGAAATGCCAGGTGGCACCGGGAATTTCATGGTGCCGATATAAAGTGCTGCTAGATCACAAGGAACACACGCAAGTAGGAGAAACTGTTAATTGCAACTGTTCCAACGTGGGATGGTTCTTTCATGAGCCTCGAGAATGGAGCCCTCCAAAAGGTGGTCCGTGCATCCTTGTCAGGTGCCTGGAAACCAGGTTCATAGCTCATAAGGACACACATCACAAACCTGTCCACATTGAGTGGGACCAAATCGTCCTCAACACACGGCCGACGCCCCTATGGTCAGCTCACAACGCATGCCCACCCGTCCGCGCTCCCCATTTTCTCGTCTTCCCTCGGTCGGACGCATGTCCTTTCACCGCTCGAGGGCCCAGGTGATGAACTCTTTGTAGCTCACCATGTCCTCAGATATGGCGCTGAGTCAAAATCTCCGCCAACGTTGAGGGTTGACATGCCTTACAGTGGAATCTGCTCATTGTCAGGCCAACCCGGGCTGCAGGCTTTTAACCTACACCCATGCACTTGGACCGGAGATCTTCCACCAAAGAGTCGCGAAGATGGGCCTTCATCAGGCGGAAAGATTTGTGGGTTGAGGTCTAAGATGAAATAATAAACTGCAGTAGCCATAGAGCCCCAACTCATTCTCAATGTTTCAAGACTTTTAACGAGCATTCAGTGCTCGATTTGCCCGGTCACCACTCACTCCATTGACGCCTCCCTCGAGTCCGCAGCCATGCGCTACCCATGGCATGTTTCCACAGCTCCGATGACGGCACCTCCGACCATGCCAGCTGCTTATCGCCCAGCACCGATGGCACCGCAGCCTATGCCAACACCGTATGCCATGACCCCACCTCCACAACACTACCCGGCATATCCATACCCAGTACCTCATTATCTCACTCCACAGCCATACCCAGTTCCAGTACCAGCAACTTATCCGCCACCAATGATGGTCTACCCAAGTCTACCCATCCACAGCACAGCACTCCACTTCACCGCACCACACTGCGGGACATCCACCTTCACTGCACCCCACTACGGGACATCCACCTCCAGTTGCCCACCACCAACAGATTGATCCATCTTCAAGCTATACCTGCGGTTTCGCAGCCTCCGCCGACTACACACCATTCAGTGCCACCGCAGGCTCCACCCACATATCACTCACCACCACCACCACCACCAGTACCATCAGCCCCCTCCGCCACCGCCTCCTCAAGCAGTACCAGCACTACCAACCGTCAATCCACCGGCCATGTCACCAACAGACAAGCCAAACTCAAACAACTCTCACACAACACACCCATTTCAGCGGAACTTTCACTCCGCACTGGCACTCCGCAGGCACCATCACCAACTACTCCACCATACACATTTCTACCTTTTCGGACTATGACCAAGCATGGGTCTACGAACTCAACTGGCCATTTGTATCACAACACCTCAAACTCAAGCTTGACGGCTGGCAATTCACACGCCACCGCGCCCATTTCTACCCACGCCTGGCCAATCACTACAGACTTTTCCGTCGCCTGAGACGACGTCTACGCACCACCAAGCAACCAGTCCTACACACATCCCACAAACTACATGCACTCACTGTCTTACATAAACTGACCAAACCCATTCGAGCTTCCTACGATACCGCGCGCCAGCTTCGCTCAGGTCGCTACTCAGAACTCGAGGTCTACGCCATTCGACGTGTGGCCGCCAGGCTTGAAGAACCAGGACGGAGCAAGGCCATGCAGCCATGCACATTCTCAACGAAGCCTTGAAGTACCGCAACCTCACACCCCCGAAACCAACCAGCCATTCACAATTCCATTCTTGGCCCACACTGCCACACTGCCTTCCAGCAGAACACCCAACGGTGGCTCACCGGCTTACTTCACAAACACAAACACCTTGCCATACCGTTTCACCTCCCCACCTGCAAGCTCAGGGAGGCAGCTCACGACACTTTACGCAGCCAAGGAGCAGGTTTTCCACTATCCCCCTCACGAGGAACAGCTCCCCTGCGTCTGTACACACCTCAGCACACTACTAGATCAAAGGGACCACCCACGAGCAGCTGATCACCTCATTGTCACATTGGATGACCTACAACTGCCACCCCACCTGCGCCATTTCCTTGGCGCCAACATGAGCAGCACTTCTTTCCTACCAAACACCAATACTTTGTTTGGCACTTTCCACAAAGCCGGCTGAAACATCACGGATTGCCACCTACGCTTGTCGCACACGCCCAGCATTCCCTGGCCGACCAATGGCACTAACACCTCCAACATCTACACACCGAACCACGATTCACAGCACGTTCCATCAAACAGTTGCAACACTTCCTTGGTGACCAGGTAGTCCTCCACCACGCCGACCATGAACTGCAACACCTGCGGGTCTTTTGCCCGAAGATCTATTTCCAAGGATGTCTTGCCACCTGGCAGTCACCTGAACTTTTCCAACCTCTCCCGGATCACACCAACGACACCATTCGACTCCACCTCCAGCAAGCCTTCCCAGGCCACCTACGCAGAAAATACCGATGGGGCTTTCGTGCCCAATTCACCATGCCTTATGGCATCGTCCACCTGAAAGCCAAGAAGCACTGGCAGAAAGGCCGCACCATCATTTCGTACTTCAAATCCCACTTCGGTACTCTTCGAGCTGCCTCCACCGCAATCACAACTGTGATCCTCCGCCTTTTACTACCTTCACACATTACTCTACACGCCATCAATGATGACCTCGTTGGGTTCTTCAACTCAGTACCACAAAACCGCCTGCTGGACGCGGTAACAAGCCTCACCACCAAGTGGAATCCCACGTATGACACACCCACTCTCACCATTGACATTTTGGCCGCCGGCAATCCCATCCAATTGTCCCACATTGGACAACATCACCGCCGCCACCCCACGCAACGCACCATCGACACGGAAGACATTCCAACCATTGAAAAAGCTTCAAACAGACACGTGGAGCAGGGATTGGGTCCCAACTCTCACCTGCCTTGTGCAATGTCGCCACTACCCTCATCGAACACTCCTGGACTCAATTGCACCACAGCCTGACCCACCACACCCAGATGCACTTTGCCTACTATCGCTATGTCGACAATCGCTTCATCACGTTCAACGATACCTTCCTGAACCACATCGGCATCCAAACTTTGATTCATCCGGGTTTCTTCCGCAATCCAGTAGAGCTGCGACCTGTGGAGGACATGCACCTCCAGTGGCTTCGATGTGGATCTCACTCAACGCGCGATCACCTACATCCCACCACATGCCCCATGGAAGATCAGCGACCACGCTTCCGCAGGTTCCCAACGGCTACGTTTGTCTGGCCTCAACTCCCGCGCCCACTTGATTCGTAACTACACCAACCCGGCCTCGGCAACTGAGCGGGCCCTCGCTCACCTCGCCCACCTTTACGCCCAAAAAGGGCATGACCTGGCACAGTGCCTGCGAGTGATCAGTGCAAAACGATGCGTCACCATGCTTGATTTTCGGGCACGCAGCAGATTTTGTGAGCGAACTGTACTGCATGATCTCCGTGCCCCTACCCCCAATCAACAGAGTGCGTGTGTGTGTGTGTGTGCGGGTGTGTGTGTGTGTGTCAACACCCACACTAAGGGACCTACCCTTTGTAATTCGATCATATATCTTGCATTCCCGTGTGCAGAGCAGGGGGCCAGCGCATGGCATGACATCACAACGCTGGCCAACGAAGCTAGTGATGTCATGGGAAGCGGTCAGAGACGCCTGACTGTGTACCTGCCATTTTAACACACCATAAAGGGCTAATGAGCTTCCTCCGTCTCACCCATGTTAAACAATACTGTTGATGCGGACTCTTCCACCTTGCGGTTCATCAGCCAAGAGTAAGCGTGACGGGCTAGCCTCACAGGGAGATCATAACTGATACAGCTCTTGCGAGCATTGATCTAAGTGTGTGTGCACATTGGTGTAATATCTGATGTTTGGCCATGTTGCCAAGGCTACGGCTTTGCCGCCCAGTTGCTTCTTTGCCGCTCTGTAGGTCCACCATCCTGAGATGGTCAGGCGATGGAAAGGCTGACCATTTTCGTCAAGGGAACATCAACACCATCAACTCCTCAAAAAGTCGGAGGGTTGACGGAAAAAGCTTGCACATTGCACAACACTTGATCTCAAATTTCATTGTAGTGTCGCTTCGGCCCATCGCCTCCAAAACGGCCAAAGGGACCATCAACTACCAAGCTGGTGGATCTTTACCAAATTCATCCAGATTCGGGTTCGACAATCTGCCAGACGTGCCCAGGGGGAGAAGGTTGGTATCACACACCTGATGACTACTGTGACTGAAAGGATCTCGTGATGCCACCCGTTCCCCTCTCACCAAGCTGTTGGCTGATCCTTCCAGAGCACATGGAGTCCACTTCTTCGGCTTCAAAGCGATCGCCCACAGAGGTCATGAGATGCAGGAACACCTCCCAGCCCCCACCGAAACCGAAAACCTCGTGTTGGGACTGCAACCCCACCAAGGAAAACTGCTGAGCTTCCCATTGCCCAAGGGTCTTCGGGTCTTCTTGTCGGGATGGAAAACACTTGCAAACCAACAGATCAAAGAGCACTCTGTCCACTCCTCTGGGGCTTTGTCACTTCAGCTTGGGCTTCGAGGAATTGAAGTGCAGCTGCTTCCTCGAAGCCCAAGACTAAATGCACCATGCCGCATGCCCCTCATTTTCGGTCCGCCTTCCCCCTTCTCTGATATGGAGTGGTGTCCCTCGGTGGCGCCTCCTTGGGGATCTGCCCCGTGCCTTCCTCAGGGAACTCGCCCAAGGCAACTCGAAGGAGCGAATCCCAAAAGTCTCACGAGTATTGCTTGAAGTCTGGTTGGGGATCCCTTTTGCGTGTGAGAGCACATTTTTGTTGTATTTGTCTGACATTTGTCTGAACACAGTACAGCATCCAACACGGGTCGTACAAAGGATATTCCGAAAAGATGGGCCGTGGCTTAAGGGGACTCCCTCTCAAGGCCCCCCTGGAATAATTTATAAGTTATTCTGACCCCTAGTCACAATGATGCTGGAAATTATTCTGGTATGTCATTCACGTTCAGGAATAATTTCTAAACATCAGGCTGCAAAACCATAGTTGTGCTTTGCACTCAACTGTTTTTCATCCCTGTCGCAACACCGCTCCAATAATTCGGTGTGAAACCCCAAATGCACTTGGAGAGACAATACGCCTACATGTGTGTACATCTTGGAATATTATTCCAAATTTATTCCAAATTTATAGGTAGTACCTTGAACCACTACCTAGCTAAAATAGTATTCCAGACATATTATTCCAAAAAAATTATTCCAGTAGGTCAGATGACCCCTGGAATAACTTTTGAAGCCACCCCCTATCCGAAAAGGCTTCTTGGACCTTGACGAAGCTAGGGCAGTAAGAAACCCAAACACTCAGAGGGGCACTCTCCACCTTTCGGTCGCTAGCACTTGGGGGATCTTCTCTAAAATGAGTGACTCACAGTACCTCCCCAGATCCGAGGGAACCGCTTGACTTCATGAACTCCTGTCAGCTTGCTTCCGCCCGTTCCTTCCGTTCGTCTCGTTCCCCGAAACGAGGCACCGGGTCGAAGGGCGCAAAGACCGAGCTCAGCTCCTCGAAGGACGGATCCTGCCGGTAGTATCGGTCTATCGGTCCGACCGGTCGAAGGTCGGTTGGAGTTGATTCATGACACTGGTAGGTTGAGTCCTAGGTGGCATTCTAAAGGTAGGTTAAAGTTGATCTTAGTTGAGTCTAAAGAATCAACTCAAGTAAAACCAGAATCAACTTAGGTTTAGCCCCCATGTCAAGAGGCGCCCTACATGATTGATCAAGAGTCTACATGAAGGCACCATGGAACGGGGATGGGAAAGGGTGGGCCCCATTCGCCCGCGACCAAACATGGGAACCGCTGACCCTTTGAAGAGGAAGTTGGTTGTAACTGAGGCCTCACAGGATGCACGCATCCCTGAATGGCAGGTGAGAGAGATTAGAATTGGTCTTTTCTCCTGTGTCACGGGCGTGGGTGGAAAGAGAACAAACTGATACGAAAACGAAGTTGATCCATCTGGCCAGCCTCCTCCAGCATCCCGGTGTCCCCACCCCGGAAAAAGCTCCGGACTCGCCGCTCCGCCTTTTGGTGTTCTGCGGAGGGTGACACGTCAACGGTCGCTGCACTGGACGTGACCCCCGGAGGCCAGTGCCAACCACAGAGTCGTGGAGGTCCTTCAGTTGGTATTGGTGGGCGAAGGAACCTACCAGCAGAGCAACCGCTTCCGCCAGATAGATCACGGAAGAACAGGATACATATATCGCTTTTTTAAAGAAGATGTTCAGTTCAGTTGACACTTGCATGGCTCTACAATCTGGCAGAAGGGATTGGTCTTCGGCCGTGGCCCCCCAATAAAAGGATATCAAGCACTTGGCACTTGCTGAGACATACCAGAGGTTTTCAACTTTTCCCTTCTGAAACACAGAGTGTGGTGCTGTGTTGCCATCCCCTGTGGGTTCGTAAGCCACAGCCGCCGTGATTAAGTCCCTCACTCACAAGCTTTCTGACAAGAGCATGCGCTGTGCATCCGCGACCCTCCGCATCTGCAGCAGGGCCAAACCTGGTGGAATCAAATGGGAAACGGGAAGGTCGACATTACATTACACACACTACATAACATTACATGACGTGACATTACATTACACTACATCACATTACACTACTACACAACATTACATTACACTACATACCATTACACGAATTACCGTTACATTACATTATGGAAGTTCGTAGGCCATGTTAAGGACGGCTGGGTTTTTGACAGTTCAAACAGTGTTACCTGTCCAGTTTTAAGTGATTCCAATCACTTTTTGTAGATAGTGATTTGGAGGATGTGGAGAGATTTCTCAACTTGGTGACATTAGGCTCAATCTTCGTTTGGCCGAATGGCCTGTGGAAATGAATAGCGGTCAATGATGATATGATGTTGTTGATAGGGAGGAAGAAAAGTAGGATGGAGCTGGAGTTGATAGCATTCTTGAAGAACATCTCTCACAACTTGACAATTTGGCATATGGGAGGAGCACAGCGCACTAGCATTAGTGTCGAATCATTGATCTTCTTAAAAAGAAAAACGTTGCAATCTTGCTAGTGCAGATCAAATCTCATAGCTGTCATTCACAGAATTCCCACTCCCGCTGTCGGCGCCAAGGAAGAGCCACCAGTACGTTCCATCACGCAAAGTGATGGCGCCCCTTTTCCATTTTTTCTCCATAACTTCCCTTTCTTGAGCCTTAAAGCATACCCTGTAAGAGGTTGGAAGCGAGTTTTATGGTTGTTCGGCGTTCTCGGGCCAGTTTTGTACTTAGAGAATTGTTGTTTTTGCAAATGTTTCTGTTTTCCGCATTGGACTGTTGGTAGCCCAAAAACGCGCATGTAAAATGAACAATGCCTTTTGGAAATATCATCAATCCAACATAAAATATCGAGATTGTTAACATCCTTTACGAACTTCTATGCATTACATGCCATTACATACAATACTACAACACAATACAATACAATGCAATGCAATACAGTACATTACACTACATTACATTACATTAATACATACATCCATACCATTGCATTGCCTTGGCTTGGATTGCAGTACATTACGTTACTGCCATACCATACCATAGCATACCGTAGCATAGCATCCATCCATACCTACAGTACGTACATACAAACATACATATACACGGCATATATGTGTGTGCAAGCGCCAGAGTGGTTGCTTGTGGGACCACTAATCATCCCACGCCATGGCCCATGGCCCGAGGCATCAGTTTCGGCACCACCCCAGGGTCGCCAGGGTCGGCCTGCAGCATCTCTTTCCAGGCCGTGGACGCCTTGCTATGGTAAGTCATCCCCAGCAATGTCCATAGCCGAAATCCGCGACGAAAAAAGACCCTCATGGCCCCAGACTCGGGACCACTCACCGAGCACTGAAACTTTCGACTGACTGATGTACTCCTCACTTACCCACACCCCACTCGCAGTTTTCCCAATCAGCAGTTCCCACCATCTGCACTCTTCCGCCCAGCGACGCCCTCTGCGGATGACCTGCTCCTGCTCAGCGCTCATCCGCCGGATCCGAGACACGTTGGGGAACAACCGGCTAACCAGGCGCTGACGCAGGGAACAGTACCTCAGTGGGACGGGAACTGGCCGTCCAGCCGTGCCCTGCCGACTGGCGAAGGCTGGGCGTCGTGTGATACACCGGTTCTTCGGTTCTTCCAAGTTCAGAATTAGGAAGAGAAGCTGGAACGATTTTTTCCCTTGAAAAGCGAGACCTATTCCGGCACCCATCTTGAAAACCGAAAGAACCCACCTTGGTTCCGTTCCCTGCCACCTCTTCCGGCGCCGCCCCGCCCCTCACATCTGTGGCCCAAGCACTTCAGGAGGGCCTCCCAATCGACCGCCGGAGGTCGCTCGACGTTTCGTCGGAGCTTGGCTCGATGCACGCACGTATTTTCGCCCAAGCGGAGAAAAGGCGGACTCTAGGCTTGCTTCGTTCGCCCAAACCTTTCTGATTCATTTGTTTATACAAATGCTTTCTAAAGTAGGCGAAAGAGGAAGAAGAAGAAGAAGAAGACGACGAAGACGAAAGAGGAGGAAGAAGAAGAAGACGACGAAGACAAGCACGTGAAGCCCCAGCACCCTGCACAGACCCAGCATGTGGGCCGTGTGACAGTGCAACCCCGGGCCAAGAGACTTCACCAGCTTGTGAGATGCTACAAATGTGGCAACCACACGGGAAGACAAAAGGATTCTGGCCGTTGGACTGGCACTTGCCGTCTGCCGAATGCTGCAAACTTAAAGAGAAAAGCACTTGACCGGTCTGCGGGTCCAAATCTGACCCTTGTGCCCCCTCCCCTCGGCAATGCTTTACAGGCACTTGATCCTTGAATCCTTCCTTATAATATATGCCCCTGAGATTGCTACTGCTGAAATGTTAGATTGATTGCAAAGGTCAAAAATCAACCCTATGGCCCTACGGCGTGTCACGACCTGATGGTCTTTGGGGTGTGCCCTCAGCGTTGAGCACGCAAACCTTCTTCGTGTTGACTTCCCGCTTCCTCCGAAAGCAACCCCACACTAATGACGCATGGTGAACAGATTCTACCAATTAATGACCTCTTTGTGCACCTTCCGGTTCAGCTACTACCCGCCCTTGTAGAGTCCATTGGGAATCGAGGGTTTGACAGGGCAGAAGTGAAGAGTGGCTGGGGGCACCGGCCCAGGAAAGACGGGGCAGAAGACAACCCCCTCCTGGTGGCAGGCGTCTATAGCAAAGAAGTGGCCTCAATGCCCCTCGATGGCTGCACCATCCATCTAAACCTCCCACACCAGATCCTCTCAGCTCTTCCTTCCTTCTTAGGGCTAAAAGCCCCCTCCTCCACTCCGCTCAGGCTGCCCTGCCCGCCTCAATGCAGTTGTTGAAGGCATCCTCCAAGGCAGCAATCCCCTCCACCGAAGCGTGCCTCCAAGCGCACAAGCAATAGGCCCTGATGGAGACCCCTTGCTCCAGACGATCCTCCGATGCAGAAAAAGATGAGGTGTCGGAGGAAGGTGTGGCGGTGTGGGGAAGAAACCAGAACGACGGCAGGGACTGAATGGAGTCTTCAACATTGATTGGTTCTAGAAGGCTACAGTACTTGCAACATCTTGCAACTTCCAAATTCATCTGTCCACACGTGCTACCATGCCGTACAGAATGACTCGTGTGGGCTCTTGTCGGAGAATGATGCCGTCCCAAAACCAAGGCAAAAAGAATTTGGGACTCCAGCTTTCATTGGCAGTTCCTACTGTTGACCGTCTGAGGCAGCTTTCACCGGCATCCTCGTTGACCGGCCCCGCTATTTTCGCACCGCGTGTGGAAGTGAGGGCCCCTTCCAAGTTCCAGGAATCGCAAGAGGCATGGCCCCCTTGGGTGAATATTTGGCCTCTACAAACAAGTAGGTTGTCCAGTTCCATGATCATTTCAGGGAGTGGTTCTATTTGGGAAAATGCAGAGGCCACAAGATAGTCAATACGCTCGCATGCGATGATGAGCCTAGCAAAATGAGGAGGAGTCTTGCAGGTCGGATCAAGAATGGTGCCACCCCGAAATCTGTCTACTACGTCGACTGAAAATGCCAGGAGGCCAAGAAGTTGCGGTGGTTCTGTGGCATCCGCGGCCTCAGGTATGGCAGCGTGGGTGGTTTCTTTCACTTGGAATTGCTTCTTCAGTTTAGTCCAAGGGGCCGCCCCTGCTGCCAGTGCTCTTGCAAGGGTCCAGAAATGCCATCCTGGGGTCCGATCCGGTGAAGAAAGCCCGAACTGAGGACGGGCTCCCGGGACAGCCCCAAAGCCTCCACACCTAGATTAAGTCAAAATACACAGGGTATAGATAGATAGATAGATAGATCGATCGATCGATAGATAGATAGATAGATAGATATAAATAAATAAATACAGTATACATCAGTATACAGTATATATACAGTGGGTGGGAAGAACACCAGCAACCGAGCTGCACTCCGACAAACCAAGGGCGCGACAGAACCAAAAAGGCCCAGTGCATCCCGACATTTGAGGGGCAATGCAGGTGTTTACA